TTTTCTTCTCTGCCCAAAGAAGGAAAGCTCTGATGGTCAACAGAAGGAGCCTGCAGAGATCTGGGCCCTGACCACCATATGACGCACCCACACACGCCTCCAAACACAGTCCTGCCAGGCATACGCTTCCACTCTTGTGCCTTCGCAGTAGTAAAAAGTAATTCCAGAAAGAAACAGCTAGAAAGCAAACTGGAGATGACATTTCTCAAAGGGTGAGTTTGATGCCTGTGGAGAATAAGTGGTTGTTTCGCCTTGTTCTGGGTCAGGGGGTGTCGTGAATGAAGGTCTTACACTTGACCCCAGGAGGTATTGATGGATGGGGCAACAACAGCAGTTTCGTGAGACCCAGGATCCTGTGTGGCACAGCCGGCAGACAGCCAGAGTCAGGCATCTGTGTCCCAGGCAGACCTTTGCGGGAGGCCCAGCCTTCCAAATCTGCAGATGAGGAAATCAGGAGCTGTGGAGATGGCATGTGACTTGTCTGCCTGCACACCGTTGATCTGTGACAAGGAGCCACAATTCTTTTATAAAGTGAGACCTCTCTCTGTCTCCCTCCCCCTTCTCTCTCATACATACACACACACTCACACACACACACATCTCAGAAAATGACACTAGTCTGCCAAGTCAGTTTACTCTTTGTGATTGTAATCCTTCTAGCAGCAGCTCAGCTATCCTCTCAGCAATCCTTTTAGATTTCCCCAGATTGAGCTGAGAACTCTCTTCATATACCATGTCCTGCACGGCTCTTGTTATATGCTGTAGGAATTAACTGGTTATATTGCTGTTTATAACTGCTTTGTATACATCTTTAGAAGGTGCCTCATTTATTTTTCTTCTTCATCCTTTCTAAGAGTGATGTAGCTACAAGCAATATTAATTGGCATTTCTCCTATTGTGGCAATAGCAGCTTTAATGGTCCCTGTGAGAGTCTCTGTTTGAGTTGGTAAGGCCGGCCCATGCCGTGACATCATCAGGAGGTCCTGCGGGCTTGGGACATTTAAAGTCTCCCACAGTGGAGCACTGTTGGGAGCCAGGTCAACACTACCGGGTACATGTGGGCAGAGGGGACCTGCACTGTTTTCTCTAGGGCAGCGGGTAGCTGGAGATGACAAGGGGCCCCTTTGTTCTTCTGGTGACTAAAACCTTACAGCAGTGAGAATGGAGTCACCATTATGAACCCCAAACTGCTTCTCATGGACAAATAGAACCTATTACTGTACAGGCAAGAACCTTAGTGAAATTCCAAGTGTGATTCATTTTATAGAAACTATTAGCATAGACAAGAACCCTAGTGTTCATGAGATTCCAAGTTTGATTCATTTTTAGCGTTTACTTTTTCCACTAAGACATACATCAACCATACAAACAAGTACAGAGAATAATATTTTGATTATCCTTGTGCCCACCAGTCAGGCTTATTATTTTCTATTCTCTTCCTTCCCTACCCAGAGGCCACTGAATGTGGTGTTTATCACTCTGAGATTATAAATGTGTCTCTTGGGGACCTCTCAATGTAAGGGCCTGTGAGTAATGGAACAGGAACTGTGTCTTGTGGCAGTAAGAGTGTGGTTTTGGAGCCCTGTGAGACTGCAGCAATTATTTCAAATGAGCCATGTGACTGCAGAGGGCCAAAATTTTTCGAACCCAAGATTCAGGACTGGTTGGGATTTCTCTAAGGGGCAAGCAAGGATGGTAGGTAGCCCAAGCATCACTCATCAAGGTATAACTCAGATGGTCTGAGGAGATGCATGGTTTCGGAGTAATGTTTTTCAACCCGTTTTGATCGTGAGGCACAGAAATTTTTTGGCTTGTGGACTCATACACTGCACACCCATGCGCACACACCCACTTGCGTGCGCACTTCTGAATGAAAAGTTTCAATGAACTCATCATACACACTGTTATTCTTCCCTTATTAGTAGCCCTGAAATATAGTCTGTTTTGTTTTGTTGGTTTTACAAAGGCTATTTTGTTCTGATAAGTGGGTTTTATGTGCCATTAATAGATAGGAACCCACAGTTTAAAACAACTATGAAAAAAAGTCAAACAAACCCCAGTTTGGAGAATTGTAACTTGTTTCATGAGAAAAGTTTTTTATTTATTTATTTTTTAAGTTTCATTTTAAAGAGAATTTTTAAAAAAAAGAACAATAGCAAAATGCCAACAACATAGACAAAAATAAAATAAAGCAAAAACAATAAGAATGATACAGGGTTTCAGAACAAAATGATAGGGATTAACAGTGGTTGTTATAATACAAATTTTTATCTTTATTGAAGTTGGTCAGATTACCAGATGTAAGAATGCAAGATTGATCAAACCGTTAAAGAGAATAAGAAATAAAAACAAAAAAATTATGAACGATACAGAATTTTACCAAACAAGATGATAGGAATTCAACAATGGTTGTTATATTGCATATTGTTGTCTTCAAATTGGTTGTTCAGATTACCAGATAAAATCATGCAACATTGGTCAAAAAAAAATAAAGGATTAACTGTTCCTTTCAGTAAACCATTAGACACCAGCAGTACAATTATCTCAGCTCTTCTTCTGTGTACATATATATATATATATATTTTTTTCCCTTCCTTCTTTCTTCTTCTCCTTTCCCTCATCCCAGCTGTTTCTTCTTTTGAGCAATTTCTTTCCCTTTCTTAATATCTATTGTATATTTTGGATTCCACTTACTTGAGAAAAGTTTTTTAAAAAGATATACTTAGTTGAGCTCTGCTGAACGTTTTCACAAGTCTTTTGTCTGTCACTGACCTAAACCATAAATATTTATATTATGTCACTGACCTAAACCATAACTTACTAATAACAAATCCTATGTAAAATTAAGCATAATCCAGCGCTCTTTGAGGTTCAAATTCTTTTGTGTGGTGTGTGCTCCTCTCCTCTCCAGCCATTGCTGTGAGGCAGCTTGTCTAGCATAAACACAGCTTAAACAGAGTAACTTAATCATATTTTATAAGTTTACAATTGTTAAGCCACAAAATCAACCTTTTCAAATAAGAGTGAGCAGAAGTCAAACTGCCAAGTGGAAAAGAACAGCTGTCCAGTCCTTCATTCTTTCCGTCACAGTTTACCTCTGTACAATCTTAAATGAGGTCCATACAAGAAATAAAGTGATGTAAGCCTCGCATTCTACTTGTTAAATGTCATCAATTTTTGTGTAACTAGGCTGACATCGGGCTCACAGGGGGCGATTGATAATGATCACCAGGGCACCAGGTCACACATTACTTTTGTTTGAAAGAAATTTAAGGCTGGGGAAGTAGCTCAGTGGTGAAGCACAAGCCTTGCATGCTCAAGCCCTGCGTTCAAGCCCTAGCATTGGCGTGTGTTGGGTGGAGGCGGTACAGTATTTACATAATGTGACTCAAAAAGGTGACTTTCTTCAGGGAGGCAAAGGAGAATAATTACATTTAATGTATATTGAACAAGCAGTTGTTGGAGATTATGAGCTACATTGGTTTTAGGAGACTAAAATGAGTCAGCTTGCTCCAAGAGGTGACCACCTACCACCGCTTAAACGTTAATGAGGTCGCTGCTTCCTAAAATGAGGAGGAAGGGGGTAGGTTTTGTTTAAAGCAGCTCTTTCACAGGAGAGGAAATGTGGTTCTACCTCAGGAAATTTCAATGGGCTGGCTGAATAACTGGGAAGGAATGTCCCCTTTGGATGAGAGAGGGAAGAACTGAGCTGATTTTCAGATGAGCCAGTGTGAGAATAGCACTTTTTGGTGTATACATTTATGAGCGTGACGTGTGTGACTTGTGGAGGGACAGTTCTCAAATGTTTTGGTCTTTTGACTCCTTTCCACTTAAAAATTGTGTGGAGAATCCCAAGAAACTTTTGCTTATGTGGGTTATGTATGTTCGTTTTTTCCCTTTGAAGCATTAAAACTGTAAGAAATTTAAAAATATATTTATTGATTCATTAAAAATAATGAATCCCTTATATATGAATACATCTGACTACATAATGGAATAATGAATTCTTTATATATGAACACTTTAACATTAAAAACTGTGTTTTAAAAATTAGAGGAGAGCCTGGCAAGGTGGTGCCTGTAGTCCCAGTACTTGGGAGGCTGAGGCAGGAGAATTGCCACAAGTTCAAGGCCAGCCTGGGCTACATAGTGAGAACCTGTCTCAAAACAAGCAAACAAACAAACAAACAAACTGTGATTATTTTATATCTTTAGTTCTTAGTTAATTAAATGACATCAGGATTCTCATATCCACTTCGGCATATAGCCTGTGAGATCTGTTGTTTTGGTTTACGTGTATGAAGAGAATTTTGTTCACAGAGATACATAATTGGAAAAGAGAGGATCTCACAGCTCTGCTAAAGGCCTCAGGACCCCAGGGATCTTCGGGACACACTTTGAGAACCACCACCCTATAAAGTATTTGCCAACAATATATGTGAAAGAGCGGCTCTCCCTGCGTGGTGAGACTACTAGGGACCCTCATTTTTTCCCCCCTTTTCATTTGTATATACTTCTTACAGTGAGGCTGGATTTTTTGTGCAGCCTAAAAAATGAAGCATGAACATTTTGAAGGAAGATTATGGAGGCCCAGGAAACCCAGGCAGAGACTTCACGCTTGGGAAACGCAGGAACCACATAATTTCTTAAACAGGAAAATGACTTGGTAAAAGTTGTGTTTGGAAGCACAGTAAATGGATTAGAGTGGAAGGAGAGAGAAGGGAGAAAAGCCACTCCAGAGGTCACTGCAGTGAACTGGATGAGCGGCAAGTTGAGCTAGGCCTCAGGTCTTGGCAAAGACAGAGCCAAACTGTGAAAGAGCTCTTGAAGGCCCTGACCATAACCAGGAGGTGGTGATGGTCACGGGGTGGCTAGCCAGGGTCAAAGATGAGTAAGAGTTTTTAAGTTAAAACATGTGAACAATGTGTTTTCCCTTCTCTCTTTACACTTTTCTGAAAATTCCCTGGCTTGAGCTCACCAAGGCCTTTCCTTCTCTTGCAGGGTTGGCTGGCCCACTGGGGGGCTCTGGAGGAAGCCGCCACGCTGAATCTGTGGCTGATGCTTCCAGAAGAGACAGCCTTGCACCTATGACGTCCCTAGGGAGTTCCTTGCTGCTGACCTCCCCGGGGCCCAGCAAGCCTTAAAGGGTCACGAGTCTCCTTTCCTGTGCGCAGACTCCTGTGGTCCACCTCATATGCACCCCAGCTCCCCCATCAGCTCCCTCTTCTCCTTCACCAGCCCTGCAGTGAAGAGACTGCTCGGCTGGAAGCAAGGAGATGAGGAGGAGAAGTGGGCCGAGAAGGCAGTGGACTCTCTAGTGAAGAAACTAAAGAAGAAGAAAGGGGCCATGGACGAGCTGGAGCGGGCCCTCAGCTCTCCGGGGCAGCCCAGCAAATGTGTCACGATCCCTCGGTCCCTAGACGGGCGTCTGCAGGTGTCCCACCGCAAGGGGCTGCCCCACGTTATCTACTGCCGCGTGTGGCGATGGCCGGACCTGCAGTCGCACCATGAGCTGAAGCCCCTGGAGTGCTGTGAGTTCCCATTTGGCTCCAAGCAGAAAGAGGTGTGCATCAACCCTTACCACTACTGCCGAGTGGAGACCCCAGGTGGGTTTGCTCGTGGTGTCCGGGTTTGTTGCAGAGTTAAGGTGACAGACGGGTCTCTGCTGGTGGAGAAAATGAGGTTCGATTCTGAAGAGCAAATCCGACGTTCTGTATCCAGAAAAATCTAGGCAGAAGAAATTTTAATTTCAACACACATGTAAGCTTTGTGTGTTTTTGAGGAGAGTCATTGTATTTGGCTTAATTTAGAAGGAATCATCATAATCGTTTCCTTTTCCTGGTTCTTAAGGTTTTGAAAGGTCTTAAAATGGCCTTGATAATGATTAGCTGTGAAAACATAGATACGTGCCCCCCAACTACACCGAACTGTCCTGAGCTAAACCGAGGAAAGTTCCTTGGCTCCACTTTGTCTAAGCTCAGATAAGCTGAAGGCATTTCATATCTCGATCTGAAAACAGCCAGTGAAAGGCTTGATGAAAGTTATTCCAGGGCTAAAGACAGGTTGGAGAAAGATTGGGAGTTGTCCTTAAATATGATGTATGAATTTCTTTTGTTTTTCTTTTCTGGTGCTGAGGATCCAACCCAGGGCCTCACACACGCTAAGTAAGTGCTCTGCTAAGAAAATAAATGCAATTTTTAAAAGTTTTTTTGTGGTACCAAGAATCGAACTCAGGACCTTGTGCTTGCCAGGCAGGCACTGTGCTGCTGAGCGTGAATGCAATTCTTAAATGCAGTTGAAAATATAGGAAAGTGCTGTTCTGAAGCTCTTCACACACTGATACGTGTGTGTATCCACATGCCACCTGCTCCCTAGAGAAGCCTGATGTTTACCTTCGTTCCTTCACGCTGGTTGTAACAGTTCTATTGCCGTTCTCTTTGGATGGAGTGTCCCTGTGGTATTCCAGGCAGGAATGTAGTTTTTCTAATAGGAGCCTTCTTTCTTTCATTGGCCATCTGCCTCATTCCAGGAAACCACAGGGCTGACACATTTGCTCAGGGAAATTGCCCGTGTCCAATTAGGAGACAGTGCTGTCTAGGCAGCGGCTCAAGCGTTCAGTCACATTAATGAAGGGGTGGATCGGTAGCCATGCCTGGCCTGCATCAGTAGAACGTAGGCAGCTCTTCAGGCTCCCAGAGTTTGCCGGCCTGTTATGTGTGTGAAAGCCTTGATGAAAGTCACGGGAGTCGTCCGCCTGGGTGTGAGTGCTTCCCAGACCGCTTCTTCCAGTGCTGCGACCCTGTCTGTGGAAGCTATGACAAGGTCCCACGTTCTTGCAGATCTGAAGCATTTCCCTGAAATCAAGGAAATCATTGCTTTTTCTTTCTTTTTTTAATATTTCTCTTTGAGTTCTCTTTGCATATCTCCAAAAAAAAAAAATTAATCACGTCTCAGTTTATGACAAAGATGACTTGATTCTATTTTTGTCTCAAAGATTTGAGCTGTACGAGGCATTCAAAATACACACCTAGTGGGGGGGTATAGCTCAGTGGTACAATGCAAAGTCCTGAGTTCAACTCTTGGCACACACACAAAAAATACATACCTAAATGGAAAAGTGCTCGTTAAGAAATACTTTCTCTGTCACAAGTAATGTAGTTATAAAATATAAAAAGTTGTAACAGCTTGTAAGAGTAAAGTGCATCCAGTTTTCCTTTTGTGTACTTAAAAACCTAATTTTATTTATTTATTTATTTTATTATTATTTTGTCTTTCTGAGACATGGTCTCATTATGCAGTTCAGGCTGGCCTTGAACTCAGTTATATGGCCCAGGCTGGCCTTGAACTTGCAAGGATCCTCCTGCCTCAGCCTCACGAGTGCTGAGAATACAGACGTGTGCCACCATGCCCAGCAAAAACCTAATTTTAAAGAGCTATTTGTTGTTTCACCTTTTCTGTACCGTATTAAGTTCCTTTTAGGATGATAGTATCAAGGTTTTACATATGTAGATAGATTTCGCATCGTCATATTTTAGATTTAAGTTTCCAGAAAGATGGGTCAAGAGTGTATGAATTTAAAATGATATTTAAACTATACAGATTTTTACTCCTAATAGATCATTTTAATGAAACAGCAGAACTTACATATACTTAGGTGTGTTCGAAGTAAATATTCTGAGGACATTGGAAATGTTAATGTTAAACAAGTTTGCTGAGTCCCTAATTATAATACAAGGTTAAGTGGTGCCTGTGAAGTTTTATTTTTTATGGTGTGTTTCACGTACATTGAAAGCTGCATTCTGATTTTCATTTACATGTCCATGTAAGGAATAGATTTCAGTGCTTCTCAAGCTGTATATAATGAAGCATCAGTTTTTGCTTTTTAAGTTTTCAGTTCTTCAAGTCAGGACTTTTACAAAATAGATGAATTACTAGGCAAATAAAATTGTAAAGGGACTTTATAAAATACAAGCCCAATTTTTAAAGTTACTTGTTTTGACAGATATAAAATAACTCTGTCAAATTGCTGTGAGAACTTGTAAACACTTTAAACCTTAGTTTCCATCCTGATCTCTTCATGAATGGGTCACTAATGGTGAAATGTCTTCAGGTTCTTTTTTTTTTTTTTTTTTTTTTTTTTTTCCAGTACCAGGAATCGAACTCACAACCTTGCGCTTGCCAGGCAGGCACTTTTGCCATTGAGCTAAATCCCCAGCCCTTGTCTTCAGGTTCTTAATCCACACACTGCCTGGCATGGGTCTCGTAGAAGCCATGCAAAAGTGTTTTCACCAAGTATGATGATTTTACCCCATGTGGCTGGAGGTTATTTCAGGAGTGTAATTTCTCTTTTACATGAAATAACCTTACTGTATCCAATCCACATAACCTTTAAGGAAAAAAAATTAAAGTATTTCTAGGTTTTTGTTTTTGCTTTGCGTGCCTCTGCATCCAGTAATTCCTCCTGGTTCTCTGCAGTGTATAGCACAGAGACAAGGATGGCATGGTGTTTAAAAGGTGGTACAGAATACAGACAGATGTCTGTAAATTCTATGTTGTATTTGCAAGCAGCAGTTGAGATATGGAAACAGAATTAAGTAATTAAAGATAGTAGTTTGAAGGTCTTTAAACTTTTTGTGAGACAGTCTTGCTATGCAGTTCAGGCTGGCCTTGAATGTACTATGTAGCCCAGGCTAGTCTAGAACTGACAGTGATCCTCCTGCCTCAGCCTCCCGAGTGCTGGGATTATGGGCGTGGGCCACCATGCTCAGCTATGGTGTTTAAAAATATGACCAGTTGAGATCTAAGGAAACTGAATGAGTCAAGCTAAAAAACAACCAGAAGAATACCATCAGTCTTCTTTGCAAACATTCACCTAGATGGTAGAATATATTACCAAGATATTTGTCACTCACGATGAAGAAAAAGCACATGCTTTCTTTGCTCTTGGTGCCTCACCAAGATCTACTGAGGAAATGAAAGTTTGCGTTCAGAAGGGTATGAAGTGTTGTGTTCATCAGTGTTAGTTTCTGCTCATCAAAAGGAAGTGTCATTTGAACGTTCATGCTGTGATAAACAAGTATTGAAGAAGAAGCTACATATTATTTACTACCTTGACCCCTTGCTAGCTTGAGGCAAGTCACCTTTTCATTCCTGCATAGACAGGAAATGCACTTAAGGAAACTTCGCTGTTTAAAGTCCGTGTCCTTCCTTTTATTTCGTCTTTTGCAGTGCTGGAGATCAAACCCAGGACCTCCCATGCGCTGGGCCAATGCTCTGCACTGACTTACATGCCAGCCCTCCATGTCACTTTTGCACAGTGCTGTGGAGTGTTTGTTCTCTAATGTTCAAGGCAGCATTATAAAAATACTGATGTATCAAGGAGAAGAAGGCATTTGTTTCTCTGCTATCCTCATCTGTAGTTCATTTAAAACCTTTCATTTATCTGCTTCAATTTATTTTCTGTTCATACAACTCAAAATTGTCACTTGTTAGGAAAGAGATAAATGTATTATGGTAAAAAGCAAATGGTATGTATGTTTCGTGATTGTTGTTACTTTTTTTGTATTATTATTGTTATTGAATGTCTCAAATGTTCCAAAATATTTACCTTTTTAAGATCTTACTTTTTAGACCAGTTTTATGACATTTACTTCTTACGAAAGTTTTTATCAATGTTTTCATGTGCTAACAAATCGATACTGTGATTAAAAGTAAGAACTAACTCACCCGTCCCTGGAAACATCTTTTAAACATTTCTTACTTAGTTCTTTGCCCTTCCATAATTACTTTCGGGGCCGGGGATATAGTTCAGTGGCACGAGCACCTGCCTGGCATGGCAAGATCCTGAGTTTGATTCCCGGTACCAAAAAAAAAAAAAAAAGAAATACAGTTGTCAGAATTACTACCAATCACGGAGGTAACTATAGATAATATACTTACAGTCTATTTCCAAATTTCTCACCGTTAGATAATGTATCACCCTTCTAACATAAAAGAGGACTGAGCTATATATGGATGACTTTCTGCCCTATTTCCTCCTCTCAGTTTTGATATCTATATTTTAGTTCATACTGTAGTCTATATGAATTTTTAGTTATTCTGGTTTCTGCTGTGGATTTAGGGGTGAGACTGTTCCTTTGGAAGGCCATTAGTCAGTTGTCTTCTAGCGGTTAGTGTCGAGGTGAACATTCAAGTCTCATTTCCCTGTAGGTCACTGTGACCCTTCAAGAGTTTCCAGAATATCCCGTTCACCTTTCAGTGTTTGAGGTACAAAGGTGGTATGACTAGGCCCAAATCTTTTTTTTGTTAACTGGGCTCTGCACTCTGTGTTTCTTTCCACCTGAAGATGCAGATCCTTTTCAGCTCTGGGAAGTTTTGTTCTGTTGTTTCCTTGGTCATTTTCTATTTTCCCCGCTTCTCTATCTGGAATTTACGTTGGTTCCTGGCTGCATTTCAGCACCTATATTTACCTCATTGTGCTCCTTTAGATGTCACCAGGAGGTTTGAGTGCCCAGACAAAGCTTACCCTTGAAACCCAGAAGGGACCTATGAAAAGAAGCAAACTTAATTTATAGATTTTTTTGACTGTAGCTGATCTTTTACTTGTTCACTTTTATTACTACTCGCTGCTTATGTTTTACTTAATAGCTTCTAGCTGCTCACCTTTAAGTCTCTGCATCAAGGACAAATAGAATGTGTTTATTCCAGCAGCACTATCGTGCCTGGAATTGAGGTTGATCATCTAAATAATTCAGCACAATCTGGAAAGGCGGAATATTCTGGACATCACTTAGGGTTTCACTTGCAAGCCCTTGAAACCAATGGTGCCTTTTAAAGAAAGCCTTTATTGGCAGAAGTAAAGGGAGACGTAAACAACCAGTTCCCCAGAAGGCCAGGTGCCAGGACAGCTCCAGTCAATTCCAAGGTAGCCGTGAGCAGGCAGTCCTCCGTGGAGTGCTGAAAGTGGAAAGGCCCCGTGGAACTTTGTCATTAATTCTGCTTAAGATGCAGGTGGTAGGGCTGGGGATAAAGGTCAGCGGCACCGTGCCTGCCTGCTAAGCACAACGTCGTGAGTTCGATTGCCTATACCAAAAAAAAAAAAAAAAAGAAAAAGAAAAAAAATCAGATGCAGGTGACAAAGAGAAAGGCTTTGGGTTTGGTGTGGCTCATATATCCATGTGTGGGGCAGACCTGGGGCCTCCTGGGCAGTTTCATGGTGAGCACACACCATGGAGGGGTGTTCCCAAGGAGGAAAGTGTGTTGTCACCACAGGCCGGACGAGAATGCTCATGTGTCCTGGGTTCTGTCCTGATGAGCGATGCTGTTCTCACTCTCCTGTTCCCTTCTTCTCCCTAGTGCTGCCTCCTGTGCTCGTGCCCAGACACAGCGAATATAACCCCCAGCTCAGCCTCCTGGCCAAGTTCCGCAGCGCCTCCCTGCACAGCGAGCCGCTCATGCCACACAATGCCACCTACCCCGACTCCTTCCAGCAGCCTCCGTGTCCTGCGCTCCCTCTCTCGCCTGGCCACGTGTTCTCCCAGTCCCCATGCTCAGCCAGCTACCCCCACTCCCCGGGAAGCCCTTCCGAGCCCGAGAGTCCCTATCAACACTCAGGTAGGTCAGTAAGAGCCGCCGTCTATGGGAAAATTGGACCAAAAGCAGTGATTTACGGTCATCCATCACAAGCATAAGCATTATAACCAGCATTCACGTAATACTTTATGGTGCTTTGCAAGCCAGTCTCCTACAGGCATCGGATCCCATTCGCCCTCTGCCAGTGTCAGGACCACACCCACCTGGGAACAGCTCTGTAGCCACCCCGTGGTTCCACTCTGATTTCTGGATCTGATTCCCTGGAAGTACTCAGAAGCTAAACGGATTTGAACACCATCCCTGGGAAATTCCAGAGAGATTCTTTATGGCAGTAAAATAAGATTAAAGTATTGCTTTAACCCAAGCAGAGAAACATGGAAGATCAGGGCTAAGCTTTTTCTTTCAAGAATCAAAAGGGAGTCCCCGCTACAAAAGATGTGTGCAGAATGCCCATGTGGCAGAGTGAGGCTCGCTGCAGCCAGTGCATTCTCACCCTTTGCTTTGTGAAGCTGGGGCAGCAGCTTGCGGGAGAGATCTTTGGTAACTTATTTGCGGAATTGAAAGTGGACGCGAAAGAAGGGGAGAGTCTACTGCCTCACCGTAATCACTTGGCCTCCACGCCTGTGAAGTGGGTCAGAGTTGAGGGTCCAGGAATAGATTTACAGGCACCTCGTAAGTGGGAGATAAGTAGTATCTGGAGCTAACAAGTTCCCAAAGGCAAACATTTAGTGTTCTCTCAGTCCCCACACTTAGTGCCAGCTGCTACAATCTGCATCATTCATTCATTCATTCATGAATTCATTCATCTGGCAGATATTTATGAAAATCTCATGCTCTGAAAACCTTGTCTTAACTGCTAAAGGAGGAATGAAAAGATCAACCGAAAATCCTCAGAGAATTTATAAAATGTGGGAAGATAAATGCCTGTAATCTCGGCACTCTTGAGGGGCTGACACAGGAGAATTGGAAGTCCATAATTACCCTGAACAACCGAGCAATTTAGTGAGACCTTGTCTCAAAACTTTGAAAAGGGCTGGGGATATAGCTGAGTGAAGAGGCCCAGGGTTCAGTCCTCAGCACTGTATAAAGAAAACGGGGTAGGTGGGCAGTTGCCTCTTTTCTTCTGAGTTAGGTTTCCTTTTTGCCTCCTCTGCCATTTATTCACGTAACTACTTTTACATTTGTCCACTTACATAATTCCTTGTCCTTTCTGTGTTCAGCATAGAGCTGTAATGCAGTGATCGCTCATTTCAGTTGCTTGTTAAGTAAGGAAATTACCACCCAGGTGTTTGGAACATGATATTAGAGCTCAGAAGTAGAGGTACAGATTTTATTAATTCAGCAGGTAGTGATCCCCCATCTGCGAAATGTCCAGCACTGAGCCAATGCTAAAAGTGCAGTGATGATTCAAACCATGTCTCTGATCATCAAGAGCCACTGGCTGTGGAGAAGAATCACGTAAATAAGTCACCACATGTACTAGAGGCTGTAGCAATCCAGGCAGGCGATCATAAGGACTTGAGCTAAAGCAAGCTTGTGGGGACACCAAGAGGCGATGGACTGGAGGAGGTAGCACTGAGGGTCATTGGAGGACAGAGCCATGGTTAAGGACAGGATAGTTTTGTCACAGAACGCATGTGTATGTAGCATTCATCCATTTGTGCTATAAAGATTTCCTTTACTGACTGTATTCTGGCCCTGGTCACACTGGCAGGTGGTTGTTGTCTTTCCTCTTCCCAGACCCCAGCAGGGATGGAGAAGCTGGTTAGTTCCCCACAGAGGGCACAGCCCTTTGCATTTCAAAGAAGATAATTCTTCTCTGAGTGATTCATAGCAAGGGGCCAATCCGAATAGTACATTCTCAGATAAATAAGGGTAAATGGAACTTTTGAGATTAACTGGCTCAGTTTCTATTTTTTAACAGTTTCATTGAGATATATAGAATTCATGTACTGTATGATTAACTACCTTCAAGTGTACAATTAAATTATTTTTGTGTGTTAGATTGATTTTTCAGTTGTGGTAAAATAGATCTGTCATAAAATCTGTTATTTTAGCCATTTTTAGAGTACAATTCAGCGGTATTAAGTACATTCACAAGGTTATGTAGCCATCATCACTGTCTATTTGCAAAATTTTTTTATTGCCCCAACTAGAAACTACCCACTAACCAGCAGTTCCCATACCACTAATCTACTTTGTGTTCCTATGGATTTACCTCATGCAAGTACTGTCTGCACATTTGTGTCTGGCTTATTTCACTTAGCAAAGTGTTTCCACAGTTCTCCATGTTGTAGCATGTATCAGTATTTTGTGACCAAACAATATTCCTTTTTATGAATATACCATATTAAAAAGCCTGTTTTTTGGTTGTTGGACATTTGGGTTGTTCCCATCTTTTGGCTGTTGTGAGTAAGGCTGTTATAATCTTAGCAGGCAAGTATCTGCTGGAGTCCCTGCTTTCAATTCTATTGGGTATATGCATAAGAGCAGAATAGCTGTCTACTTGATAATTCTATGTTCAGTCCCTAACTTTCCAGATAGAATTACTCAAGGACCTGCAAAAGGACCATCTTAATATTTTCCACTACAATCACAGTTTGTTTTCTTTCAGAGAAATGCCTTATCCACAGCTTCCTAGAATTTCCAACCCCTGTCTTAAAATTACCATAGAGCCTGTTAAAACGTACATAGCTACATCCAACCTCAGATCTACTCAGAATTTCTGTTTGTGGACCAGTAATCTGCCTTTTTAGCAAGCCCCACTTGCAATCTTTGTGCGCACCTAGTGTGAGACTGCTTGTGTAGATAACTGAATAAAGGCAGATCAGTCTGAGCTTTTATGTGGTTGAATTCTCCCACTTAGGGCTGTAACAAGATGCCTTTGAACTAACATTAGGAATGAAAATTGAAGGCATTAGTTATTCTGAGGTCCTCCCAAAAGTTTTTCTTCTGACTTAGAGGTTTTTTTTTTATTGTGCTTTGAATCACTTCCGAATAAAATGTCATCTACTGGATGCATACCATTTGCCTAGCCATGATCACACATGAATTACAGGACTAATATCTGGGGAGAAATATGCCTTGCATACAAAGTTAGAACCAGGCTTCGTCTATTCTGTTCTGGAAGTGTACCTTGAAGTATCTCAGGTACAGATCATCCTGGTTTTGTGATCATTGTACAATCCACGACAACATGAGAGCTGAAAATTAAGTTTATGTCAAGGAAAAGGCAGCTTTCTCTGTGTTTTGTAAGTTGGATAAGACCATTCTGTGGAGAGAAGTGCAGTGAACAGCTCCTAGATTTGAAATCTTGTCATGAAGTCATTTGAGCTCTGTGCTAACTCGTAAGTCAAAGGGAAAATGAATCAGCCCTGCACTGAGGATCTCGGCACAACCAGTTGCTTTTGTAGGTAACTCACAATATCACTGCAAAGGAGTTTTGTTGTATTAGTATGTTTGCTTTTTAGCAGTAACAAAGCCCAGAAGTTTAATAGCAAAAAAATAGTCAGGACCAAACTGTCTTTGCAGTTTATCGGTTTGATAATTACTTTGTTCTGTTGTTTTCTTGTAGCTGATGCCCCTCCCTACCCCCCCCCCGTCACACTTCAGACAGCCCAGGGACCCCCCTCCTATGGCAGACCCGTAGATGCTACAGCTGATAGTCATTTAGCGCTACCAGTATTTAACAGAGGTAAATTGTAGGTGAATAGCTAAATGTAGCTATTTTCTAAGAGCATTTCCTAGCCTTCCTCCCCCATCAAAACAAGACAAAACAAAACAAAAATGTGCTGGCCAGCTATTTTATATGTGTTTTGAGAGGCAGATAGCATGGCTTTGCATTTTAACTTTGGCATTCCTCAGTACCAGAGAATGAATGTATTACCGTTGATACTAGAATAAGTTAATTTTTTATTTTAACCTAGTGCTTAAAAGTTTTTAGGGTTTTTTGGCTGGTGGTGGGGATTTTTGTTTTTGTTTTTTGAGGCAGGGTCTCACTACATGCCCAGGTGAGCTGGGCTGAACTCCTAGGCTCAAGCCATACCTACCTCAGCTTCTCAAGTAGCCGGGACTGTATGCAGGCACCACCATGCCTGGCTTAGAAGTTTGTAGTTATTTTTATTTTTATTTTATTTAAAATTTTTTTTTGAGACAGGATCTCACTCTGTAGTTCAGGCTTGAACTTACTACTTAGCCCAGTCTGGCCTCAAACTCACAGAGATCCTCCTCCTTCTGCCTCCCACGTGAAATGTTCTTCAACTTTAATGTTGTTGCAGTCTTGTTTAAATACAGATTTTGCTTCTGTTGGTCTGGGATGGATCAAGAACTAGCTTTCTTTGCACACTTCCAGGTGATGCAGAGGCTACTGTCCTGTGAACCACATTTGAGAAGCAGGTCTGAAGGTGTTTTATATTTAAAGTATCCCAGAGTGAGCCTTTTTATATGTGGAGATCCTTTTGTGAATCACATGGTACCCTCTAATATATGTTTTCCAAAAATTTGCATTTCAGTGTATATTGGAACACATTCTAGGCATAAAAATTACTAGTGTATTAAAGAAAATGAAATAATATAATCAATAGGAAAGTAGAGAAAAGGTGTGGGTGGCAAAAAAAAAAGCTCAAATGCAGTTGGTTAGAGGAAAACTTACTTTAAGATTAAAATTTGGAATGAAAAGTAACATTTCATGGGTTTCTCAATGACAGATCCAGATCTCTGTAAAATACTTTTATGCCACATGTCACTAGATGTCCCGCACACGCACAAAGGAGAACGTGAGTCTCTCTGTGTGCAAGATTTTTGCCTTTCTTAAATAAAATTTTATATTGAGTGTGTCTGATTTTGTTTTTGTTATACTCAAACTATGATTTTTTAATCTTTAATTTGTTATAAAATTATCCTTTTTGGCCCATAGATTGTTTGGGATAGTAAGATGTTTTCTTTCCCGTGTGAAGATGAGGTGAGGCGTCACCTTCCTTTTAGCTGTGTTTATTTTGATGATTTTTTTCTTTTTACATCAGCCTGTTTGCGTGTCTTCCCCCGGGTCCGCTGAATACCAGTGAACATATTTACAAATTCTCTGAACATAGAGGATTCCTGTGGACCCAGGCCTCTGCCCCACAGGTGTGCTAACTAAATGAACTAACCCCAAGCAGCTTCCATGAAAGAGTCAGGGTTAGAAGACTGCAAAGCTGCACACCTGGTCTTAACGGGCTACTTTCTAGTTTAAAGCATTCACATTCATTGCCTGGCGCCGTCGCAAGCTGTGAAGCCCCAGGTATGACAGTAATGATTCGCTCTCTGACTTGCTGTCTTTCAGACTTCCGGCCAGTTTGTTACGAGGAGCCCCAGCACTGGTGCTCGGTCGCCTACTATGAACTGAACAACCGAGTTGGGGAGACGTTCCAGGCCTCCTCCCGAAGTGTGCTCATAGATGGATTCACTGATCCTTCAAATAACAGGAACAGGTTCTGCCTAGGACTTCTTTCAAACGTAAACAGAAACTCAACCATAGAGAATACTAGAAGACACATAGGAAAGGGTAAGAGCCAATATGTCACAGCTTGGTGTAGTCATCTGAACTCAATGTGGAAACAGAAACCAGCCACGAATTGGCCATGTAGCTTTGGGAAACAACCCTAGGGCTGGTGTCACCGCTGGGGGCAGGGCAGGTCCTGTAAAATGCACTGCTAGGTGGGTGTTGTGAAAACAAGACAAATGATAAATATGAAAGCAAGATTAGATTGTTCCTTGGGAGTGTTGTGTATTACTTGAATTGCATATAGATGCTAATTAGGATGACTTCTGAGGAAGAGCACTTGTGACTGAATGATTATTAGTATCACGTAAAGTCTTTGGAGATGTGGAAGCTAGGGATTTAAAAATACTGCTTGATTTGCATTGGAAGCCTTTGGTGGGTGACGGGGTACCTGTGTCCAGGCAGTGCTGTGACAGCTGAGCGGGCAGAGGCCTCTGGTCTCTGACTCATGATGCCTTGGCCGCCTGTGTCATATGTGTCAGCAGTGGTAGCCTGTCCCAGCCGAGGCATGAGGATCTCAAATACTTTCTCTTACATGAGAATTGCTGTGACTCTACCTGATACTACTCAGTACCTGTAGGGTCCTTTGTCTTTTCTCCTCCCATCCAGCGTGGTGGCCTCAAGCCTCTGCTTTCAGATTTCCAGCAGATACTCTCATTAGATGTTAGTAGCCTTCCTAAGATACTTCCTAAATGCCCCTGCTGTAGTAAGCCTACACGGCACTGATAAAAACAGGTTGGGGGCTGGGGATTTAGTTCAGTGGCAAAAAGCGCCTGCCTGGCAAGCGCAAGGTCATGAGTTCGGTTCCCGGTACTGGAGAAAAACCAAAACCAAAAAAAAAAAAAAACAAATAAAACAAAAAACAGGTTGAACTTACTCACTGGTTGACTTTTCTGTGTGTGTGTGTGTTACGGGGAACTGAACCCAGGGCCTTCACACTGAACTACAGTCCTAGCCCTTATTTATAGAATCTCACTAAATTGCCCAGGCTGGGTTTGAACGTGGAATCCTCTCACCTCAGCCTCCTAAAGTGCTGGGATTACAAGAAGGCACCACCAGGCCCAGCTGATGTTGACTCTTAATGAACACAGTTTTTAAAAATACTTATTTACATTCTATATCTTCCATAGCAGCTTTGAGGTAGCTTACAAGTCAGTAAAATGCTACATGAAAAGGAGAACATAAGAAACGATGAGTGGGAGGAAGAGAGAACTTCCATACACTTGGCCCTCATGTTTGCAGGTTCTACACTGCTGATTCAGCCAACCTCAGATCAAAAGCATTCAGCAAAAAATTGCATCTGTACTAAGTATATACAGACTTTTTCTTCTTATCATTCTCTACACAATACAGTATAAACGATTGTTATGGTTTATGTCTGTGTGTCCCCTCCAAAGCCTCATGGGACCATGGGGCAGGCTATTAGAGTTGAATGATTGTGGGTGTGAGAGCTACATCCACCCTGGGGTGGATAGTTTGCATATGTAAGGGAGAGGAAGAAGCTGCTTGGGGCATTCCTCCCCCATTCCGCCCTGGTGTGTGGTTGCTGCTTTTGCTGTGTGCTGCTGCCCTGAGATGCAGCCCTCTGCCACGTGCCACTCTGCCTTATAATCTGCCAAGTACGGGCTGAAACTTCCACAAATTGTAAGCGAAATAAACCTTTCCCTCCATAATTTTGGGCGTCAGGTATTTTGTCCCAGCAGCGAGAAAAAAGTAACCAAGACAACGATTTATACATCACTGACATTGCATGAGGTATTGTTGGTCATCTAGGCATGAGTTAAAGTACATGGGAGGGTATGAGTGAGTCTGGTGTATAGGAGAGGCTTGAGCACCTGCAGAGTTTGGTGTCTACAGCAGGTTCTGGACCCTGTCTTCTAAGGATGCCAAGGGACGACTTGTGTCACAAATGTTAGCATCCTGACTGTGTGATTCTACTATCAGGTTTCCCAACAGCAAAGACAAAAGGGGAAACTCAATCTGTAAGATCACTTTTACCCTAAAACAGGAACATTATTATTCCTCAAAGGAAATAATATCTTGGTTGCTTGCTTAAGCAAATTTTCTTAGCTGTGGCTTTTCCTTTAAATGATTTGTGCAAGAAATCTTCAGCGAAATCTAAAGACAGAATGTTCACGCGTAACACTGTGGATGTCTTTGCTGAGGGCTTTGTGGATTGTTCTACGTAGAAGACATCTGTGGGTACCAGTGGGTCTGAAGATGGACTGAAAATGTTAGGGGAGCATTGACTGCCATGGGAGGCTTTCTCCTCCAGGTCTCTTGCTTCTGATGAAGACGAGGAGAATAGGTGTTCTGTGTTGATCACTGAGAGCTAATCCAGAGGTTTAAGAAGCCATGTGAGCAAGAGCCAGGACTGATGACATCCTCCAAAAGCCAGGAGACCTAACCCAGGGCTCTCCTGGATGGACGGCACTCCAGTATCATGTGGTTCTAGGGAAAAGTCACAATATTCTCAGAAATCTACTTAGGCATTATTCTGCTGTGAAAATACATATGAATATCTAGCTATCTAGCTATCTAGCTATCTGGCTATCTGGCTATCTGGCTATCTGGCTATCTGGCTATCTATCTGAGAGAGACAGAAAAAGAGAAAGAGAAAAACAAGGCCTGCCACAAAATAAAAGAAGTGTTGATTTGGAATATTCAAGAGTTCAGGATGTTGTTCTCCTGAGGGATCACAGACCTATCTCTCGAGGGTTGCTGGCAGTTATCTGCCTCTGAACAGCATGGCGCAGGGATCACATGAGGGACAGCTAAGTTTACCGCAAATGCACTTCTAGGTTAGCAAGTTAGTGGACTTGCTCTGTAGAGTTAATTAGTAGAGATACTGATTTTTAAGGTGCACATTTATCTCGCAGATATTTGTGAGCACCTGTTCACAGCCAAACGAGGCATGAGGGGGAATAAGACAGTGAAAACAACACATAACCTCCTGTCTTCACAGAGCACATGCAAGTAGGGCAACACAAGCAAGAAGTCATCTGTATAGTAAGGGAAATAGAGGAAGACCAAGCTGGGAAAGTATATTAGCTTTCCTGTCACTGGGACGAAATACCCGACACCCACAACCTACGGGAGGAAAGGTTCATTTGGTTCAGTTTCCAGCCCAAAGCTGGCTGGCTCCAAGGCATAGACAGCATAGTGGGAGGGCCTGGTGGGGGACAGGCTCATCCTATGGCAGCCAGGAAGCAGGGGGAGAAGGGAGGAGCGGGAAGAGTACAATGTGTGGGGTCACACCCACAGTGGCCCACCTCCGGCCAGGCCCCACCTCCTAACCCTGCAGTTACTGAACTCTTTGAGGATGAATCCAAGGATGAGCATAGCAACCCCACAGTCCATCTCCTTCCACACAGAAGATACTTTGGGGGACAGTTTAAAATCTGAACCCTAACAGGAGGACAGCGGGAAGGGGCCTGCTCTACTTTAGTCCAGGTAGCCAGGGAAGGCTTCCTTAGAAGGTGAAAATTGAGTTGGGTGCCATGGTGCATGCCCGTAACCCCAGAAATCGGGGAAGCTGAGACAAGAGGAGCACAAGTTTGAGGCCAGCCTCAAACTTAGCAAGACCCTGTCTCAAAGTAAAGCTTAAGGAGGGGCTGGAATTAACTCAGAGGGAGTGCACTTGTCTGAGAAAAAGCGAAGATGTGACATTAGAGCGGAGAGCCAAAGAGAACTGGCAACTAGATCTGGAGGGAAAGCTTTCCAAGCGAAGGAAACTGGCAGTGCCAAGGCTCTGAGCCTGCCTGGCTTCTGGTCAGGACAGTTGCAAGCCAGTGTGTGATTCAGAGTGAGAGGACAGGCCCAGGTTGCTGGGGCCCTGTGCTTATGATAAGACATTAGCTGTGAGTCTGTGAAATGGGAAGACAGGTTTAGGCCGAGGCATTCATGTGATCCGAATTTACACTCTTGAAAGACTCCCTGGCTGCTCTATTGAGATGCAACTGTAGCAGGGATGAGGGAGGTAAGATCATCTGAAAAATAATTATTTTTTATCATAGTTAGTGATGAGCCTTTTCTCCCCTGACAAATTATCCAGTTAGATTTGCGGTCACTTGGGTTTGGGTTCTGTGTTATTCAGAAGCTGGCCGGTCCTCTGAAAGGAAGTGCGCACTGCCACCCCGGCAGCTGTGCCTGCACTGTGAGTTGTGCTTTCTCGTGGGGAGGGGTGGTGCCAGCTCAGCCGTGCTTTTGTACGCTGCTTTCTACCTCGTAGGCACACCAGAGGCAGGGCTGCTATGAGCAATGTATGTGTAGCCACCCGCTAGTTAACTGGGGCAAAGAGAATTGAACTTACTACTCTGACCACACTTGCAAAACACTGAATAGCTACTAACAAGTTGGCGCTACACATCAAAGGCCTCCACTTGTATTTTAGAAGCAACACCAGCAAGCGTTGGGAACACTGAATTCTACAATGGGACCCATCCACATTCTTGCTTGAAAACCAAGCAAATCACTGTTTTCAGAGACATGCAGAATAAAAAATAATGGTGATGGCTGCCCCACTGATTACCTGCTATGTGGGAGACACCACTTAGACATATTATTTCTAATTCTTACAGTAACTACAAGGAAGGCTTTGTTAGTCCCATCCTACAGATGAGACAAATGAAGGTCAGAGAGCTCAGTAGCTTACACAAAGCCCCACAGTGATTCCAGAGGCTCCTGCTTATGGCTCAACTGCCCCCTCTGCTGGATAGAAGAGCCCCACCTGCCTTTTTGTCTTGTACTTCCTGAGGCTTTGCTTACAGAGATGACTCCTGCAGCTGAGAAGACACGAACACATGCCTCAGTAGTGGTATGTTCTGGCCAGCTCTGCTGATTAAAGAAGCCCTTACTTATACCGTGCTGACATTTTATGACAGTTTGCTCTTTTTTTCAGAACTGGGTTGAACCTAGGGCTTTCACACGGTGTTCTACATCTCCAGCCCTTTTAAAATTTAAAAAAAAATTTTTTTTTTTTTTTGTTTTTGAGAAATGTCCTT